TTCCTGCTTATTACTCCTCTACACACACACACACACACACACACACACACACACACACACACACACACACACACTCCCTGGAAAAAAGTCAGAAATCATAACGCATTTTCCCATCCACACCATTATGGACAGTATTTCAGAGGGGACTGTGAGCCAGCTGAGTGTCTCAGTAATAAGGGGGGGTGGTGAGAGGTGGAGGTGAAACATATTATTAGTAAATATTTTTTCCACTGGTGCAGTTTAACCAAGAAACAGAAGACATTTCAGAGGTGGGCAAAAGATACTGTATTTTGATCCAAGATTAAAGGAAGAGCAAAAGTCTGTTCAAGACTTACTTTTCTACTTTTACTTGAGCAAAATGTGTTTAGATATCTACTCAATCTCAAGTACAAAAGTAAAAGCACCGTGATGTATTGCAATTATTCTATTATTTTCATGTGCTCAAACATAACCAACAATATGAGCTTTGTTTATATTGTCTCCTTTTCTAAACGTCAACCAGCTGCCAAGACATATAGCTCAAACATGAAGTAGGCCTACTTTCTAGGCTTGAAGTGGGGGAACATTTGAGATTGCTATCCGTCTACGTGACAGCCCAAAACTCTAAGAATGTTCTTGAAAGGTTAAGTCATACAGGTGTGATCTTTCAGCACTACTGCTGTTGCCCAAACCCTGTCAGACATGTTCTGTACATTGCTTCTTCCACAAAAAATATGTTCTACTTTTATTCATGTAAAGTACTGCTAAAAGAACTTCTTAAGTACAGTTATTGCTTGTAAATGTATTTAAGTTAGCAAAAGAAAAGCGCTGTCAGATGCTGCAGTTTTAGGATTATTTCGATTAACAAAATCTCTTAAGGAGACTCATGTGGCTGTAGATTTGAAAGATGAGTCAGTTGTTCATGTCCACAACACTGTGAGCCTCCTTAATAGAATGTGATTGTGACTGAGACTGTGTAGGTTGAATAAAATAAGCTCAAACAAACACAACAAGCTGTGCAGGCCGCTACAATCCTAGGCTTGTTAGTTAGCAGGGCATCGTACTGGCAGGCAAAAGATTCAAGTTCAAACAAGACAGTCTGTACAGCAGCACTAGTTCTTCACAGCTTACTAGAAATGCCCACTGATTCAAGCTCTGGCTCTGAGGGGCCCGGAATTGAGGTTGAGTGGAGGCACCTCTACAGCAGGCCACCAACACGGAAACTGATGGAGAGGGGACAGATGTCACAAGCTTGGTAGATGTCAGGGTTTGCGTCCTTTGTTGACCAGAGATGGGGACTTGAGTCAACACCTTGGACTCATGTCGCATATTGACTGACTCATGACTCAGACTTTAGACTGAAGACTGGAAAAAATTCCTAAGAAAAAAAGCACCTGTTTAAAGCAGGGTGGGAGTCCAGAGTCCAAAAAATAATCTAAGACTTTTCTACAAGATCTTGGAGTGTCTCTGTGGGAATTTGAGCTCATTCAATCTAAAGAGCTTTGTGAGATCCGGCACTGACGTTGGACAAGAAGGCCTGGCTCACAATTAACGTTTCAGTTCATCCCTAAGGTGTTCAATGGGGTTGAGGTCAGGGCTCTGTGCAGGCCACTGGAGTTTCTACTCATCAAACAATGTCTTTATGGAGCTCACTTTGTGCTCAGGGACTGCTGGAACAGGAGAGGGTCTTCGCCAAAATGTTGCTACAAAGTTGAAAGCATATAGTTGTCCTAAATGTCTTTGTGTGCTGTAGCATTAACATCACCTTTCACTGGAACTAAGGGGCCTAAACCCTGAAAAACAGCACCAGACCATTATCCCTCCTCCACCAAACTTTATTGCTGGCATTATGCATTCTGACAGGGAGTGATCTCCTGGCATTCACCAAACCCACATTCATCCATCAGACTTCCATAGTGAAGCATGATTCATTATTCCAGAGAACACGTTTCCACTGCTCCATAGTGCATGAGTGTTTTGAGTGTCATCTGAATAAAAATTATTTTTACTTATTATTTACTCTTTATTTTATTTATCTACATTTTAGGGCAATTGGGAACAGATTCCAATGGGAAAAGTAAAGAAAATACATGATATAGTTGTATCCAAAAGTTTCGGGCACCCTTGGTCAAATTCCATGTTTTGTTGAAAATGTATATATAACACATCATCTACAGTGAACACACTTCTGCACATTTTAATGCACAATTACAGTTTCTTTGCTGAATTTAACATATTTGGAAAAAAAAAACGTAACATTTTGCCCAAAAGCTAAAATTGTTTTTTATTTTTTCAATATGTTAACTCAAATAAATATAAATTGTCCACTGAAATATTCAAAATGTTCACTTTTTTCCCCATTAGAAGATGAGTTTACTTATTTTCAATTAGAAAATCAATGTCATTTCACACTTTTTGTATGACTGTATTAACATGGTATATTATTTATTTGTGACAACGAAAACACAAATCTCAAGTACATCTTCCAAAAATTTGCAGCACATAAGACATTCCAAATATCTTTTCTGGAAATTCACTGAACAGTTTCTTCACTCCACTAATGGAACAATCAGTTAAATAAGCCGTTGTCAGTCTTCTTCTTTCGTGACTCTGCCCTTCCAAAATGTGCTGCACAGCGCCATTCTACACATGCTCCGAATTACTGTAAGATTATCTCTGTTTACATCAGAAGCCAGCAACAAGAGAAGGCTTTTAGAAACAATGCAATCTCACAAAGAATCTGAAGGAAGAATGGCCGGTTGAAGAAAGAATTCAGACTGAGACACTGATAAATGCTACGGTCACTAATTCTGCCCCAGGTAGGCCTTGACCCTTTTAAACAGACATCACAGACAAATATGCATAGATGTTTTTTGTTTGTTTGTTTGTTTTTTTATATTACTCAGAACAGTATAGTGTTCCTACACCAAGAACATTTTTATACCATCAGAGCACAATCACCTCAGAAACACTGAGGGCATTACGGAAATCTGCTCTTTCATGTAATCTGTGACATTTTAAAGAATTCTTTTCTCAGTAGATTGTTCTCATTGTTCTTTGGTTGATCCTGTAAACAATATTTTAAAATGGCATTTTATTAGAACAAATTAAGTGATAGCAAGAACAACAACAACAAAACTAATGTTTAACATGTGTTAACTTATGTGTAACATAATTTAGCACATTCAATTATGATTTTATCTCTGCGTCTTTAAAAACATATATATCACTCATGACTACACTGTAAAAACTGGCTCATCAGTTCAACCTAAAAAAAGGACAAAAGTAACAAGCAATTGAATTAGTTTTATTCAACTCAAAAATTACTTTGAAAGAATCCTTCCTTTAATATATTTATTTAGGCTGAATAAAGCTAGTCAATTTACTTGTTACCACATGAAGTCATTTTTTCAGGTTGAACTACTGAGCCAATTTTTACAAATATTTCTTTTAGCATTGACAAAGAAATGTTGGTCAGTATAACTAATAATTTACACATGTTGAGAGAACGAAAAAATTCAGGAAAAATCTGTGCCAATTTTTTTTGTTGTGCAAACATGAACAATTGTTGTACTAAGAAGTAAGAAGTTTTCATGTGAGATCAACTAAATATTTCTTTTAGTGTTAACAAAAAATGTCAGTCAATAAAACTAAGAATTTAGAAAAGTTGAGTGAACAGTGAATTTGTAAAACAATGATGCATTTAAAACATTTAAAAAACAAAACTGACAGTGAGGAAAGTTCACTACAAATCAATAAATCTAGTACTTTGTTTCAAAGTCAGTATTAGTAATTTGCTGAGTCTGGAAGTTTGTGGTAAGAGTAATTAACTTTTTGCAGCTTTGAGGTTCAGTTTTGTCCCACTCCTCCTGGCCAGTGGTCTTCAGTTCATCAAGGTGACAAAGGTCCCTCTGTTTGACTCACATTTTCAATTGTATTTAAATAAGGAGACAGGTTAGGCCATAAAGAAACCAGGATAGTGTATTTTATTTGTTCATGACAAAATAATAGTTGTATTACTATAAGTACGTGAACTTTTCAGTCAAGTACATTAAATGCATCACTGTGGTGTGGTGGGGTGGCCAAGCTGTGATGGCACTGGCTACCCCTTGGCTAAGCCCCTGCTTGAGGTATTTAGGCTGTGTGTTTGTTTTTATTATCAACCTAGTTTTACTAACAGCAATGTTTAAGGTCTTTGCCAGGGCTCTATAGCTTTTTTCACTGATCTGTTTAGTAATGTTGTCCCTGAGAACTTTAGGACACTCCTTTACTAGGACACTCCTGTTGCGTGATATCTTCCCAACCAATGGAAATGCTGTTTATAATGGGCAATCTGCATAAGAACATTTTTATTTCTATTTTTTGCTGCACAAGTAAGCAGAACTTGATTTGTTCCTTTTATTCTTAACCATAACATACACATATTTTCATATAATCGATTTCATTTTTGTTTATGCATGTGAATACATACACTTTTATTCATATTCAAGTACAAAGTCAAAAGATAACATTTGTGTGTATTGAAGTGGATAAATGCCCCGGAGGTAGATTTTTAAAAAGTGTCAGAACGCTTCTCAAGCAATGAGATTGTGGTGTCAGAACTAACTATCGTATAAAGGCCTACATTTTATTTTTTATATATAAATTTAAGGGCAACTGACTACAGACATTCCTGTGCAGCAACTACAGAGAACCCATGGTACGTACATTGTGTTATTAGATTTCAGACTGAAAAACTCAAGGAAATGTCTTTTTGATTTGTGACCCACTTAAAAACAATATAGCTTTGTGAAGGATGTAAGAGAACCGTGAGAAATTACCGTGAGCCTTTGATTTCATAAGAGTGAGGGCCTTAAATGCCACCAAAAACCACAAATTCTGCCCCAGGCAGACCTAAAGCTCAACCGTTCATTCTTCACAGGAATTAACTTGTTTAAATTCTTTAGTTTTCACAACCTGTGATGTCATTCTGCGAGGGGACCACCCCCTGAGCTGAGCTATATTTATGGGAGCGCACATATTCTGTCTTTGTGACTTACAGCTGACAGCAGGTTTTTGGGCAGCTTCGTATCCACCTTGTTCTCAGCAATTCTGTAAGTATCCAGCATTGTTACTCTGTCAGCTTGGTACTTCAGTTCCTGGTGCACACTGAAAGCAGTCAAAACTGACAAGACACTTCAATTTTTTTTCCCAAATATACTCTTTAAATGTATTCATGCATTATGAAGCAAAAATACTATTGTGTATTTTATTTTATTGTTTAGATGCATTTCATTTACTTTTCAGTGTAAGTGGTTATAACCTTGGCATATAATTTTATTTCCTTTTAAAGGTCCACATTAACTGCACGATCATGTCCAACCTCGCACCACTTCTTCTCATTGGTGGCCATGGAGGAAATGCTTTTGACTTCAATGGTCTGAATAACGGAGCAACACTGCAAAAGATATGGGTGTGGGTCGGTGGCTGGCAGATAAAAGCCATCAAGGTCTGGCTTACTGATGGCCGATCCACGCAGGTTGGAGAACCTAGTGGGAACCATTCTGAATTTATATTTCAAAATGGTGAACACATCACCTCTCTCTCACTGTGGGGAAATGGAGCTGGAACTCGTGTGGGTGCCATCAAATTCAAGACGAATAAATCCCGAGAGTTCTTCGCACACATGACAGACTGGGGACTGAAGACAGAATACCCAGCTGATGTGGGTTCTGGGATCTGCGTGGGAATCACCGGAGGTGCAGGTGCAGATATTGATTGCTTAGGCTTCAAGTTCATCAACAGCATCAGGTCTACTGTGTTGAAGAACGTGCACTATCCCACTCTTCATCACATGATTCCCAGTGTGTCCGTTGAAGAAATCAAATCCATGACGTATGAAAACAGCTCTACTGTCATGCAAGAATACAAAATTGAAACTTCAAAAACTCTCAGTAAAAAGTCCTCCTGGTCGGTGACCAACAAGATGGAATTCACCTTCAGCATGGAAGTGAAGGCAGGAATTCCAGAGGTTGCAGAAGTATCGACTGGATTCAGTTTCACACTGGGAACTGAAAGCACATACGGTCTGGAGAACTCTGAGCAGAAAACCGAGCTGCTGTCATTCCCTGTCCAAGTTCCTCCAGGAAAAAAAATGAAAGTAGACATCACAATTGGTCGAGCCACAATTGATCTCCCCTACACTGGCACAGTCCAAATTACCTGCCTCGATGGCAGCGTTCTGGAGTTTCAAACCAGTGGAGTCTACAAGGGCCTCACCTACACCGACGCTAAAACAGTTGTGAAAGAAAGATAAGTCAGTTTCTGTCTGTTGTTCCTGAAAAAGTGAGCTAGACTTTCTTTTTAAAAAAGAAATGTACAATGTTCTACAAATGTTCTTAAAGTTCAAATGCTTGAAAAATGTTCTTAGTGCCACTGATGGTGTGTTGAATCTAATATCCTTTTTTGCCATGCATTATCTGATTCAGAGTCTTATCTGAGTCTTTTTCCCTACTGCTGTGAAATCTGAACTCTTTTTCAGCATTAAACTTCTAACGGATCTGTGTAGGTGTCTTTGTATGGAATGAATTCTAGATGACAGGTTCAGGATCTATGTAACCCTGGCTGTGGTGTTGTTTGAGGATTTAAATAAAAATTGTGGGCTACTGGCTACATGTGTCACACATTGCTCTCAGTGTTTTATTCAGTAATTGAAATTCCAGACTCATTCAATAGCATGTCTTTATGTTGAACAGCCATTATGGCATCAGATGGTGTGTGAATATTAAGTGAAATAATAAAACCTGTTCAAAAGCTAAATTCATATCAAATCACTAATATTTGCATAAAATCACTTCAGTTTCATCTTTCACATTTGGTATTGAGCTTTGTGAAAATGATACATTTACTCCACTTGGTCATTGCTTCAAGTTTTATTTAGCAGTTGAATAAGTAAACTTCTTTTGTGAGCAGTTCAATGTAAAACGAATATGTATGTGTTGTTGATACTACTGCCAATGGTAATCATCATTATTGTTTGCACATTGCACCAGCATAAGATGCCTCATATTTTAGGATATCAAATACTTTATCAATCTTTCATGGAATTAATAAAGAGCTTTAATCATTTAATAATGATTTTACATTACATAGACCACAAAAAAACATATTAAAAAGATATTACTATGTGGGACTTCCACTTCTCTTCATTGATAATATGTATAAAACTCTATAATACAGGCTTTTTGCTTAAGACCAGTTGGTTATGATGCTTAAATATTGAATATGTAATTCAATTCGATTTGTTTTTTTTTTTTTATATTGCTAGTGACCAAAAGCTTAGACAGTAATCTACTGACAAAAATGCATCATAATTAATTCTAAAAGTGCCAGAAAATTTACTTATGTAATAGAAGATGCTTATACATTATAAGAAGGTTAGGAACGATTCAGTCAAAAATAAAAGACATTAGTTGGTTGAGTTTATTAATTAATTAATTAATTAATTAATTAATCATTCGATTCCTCTGTGCACCTAACTCAGCTCATGAGGGGTTGATGCATAACTGATCAGCAAGAACAGGTGTGTTGGGTCAGGGAACAGTAGAAACTGTTTGAGGTAGGGGTCCCAAAGCAGTAGGTGGGGGTCTCAACCTAAATCTAAAATTGGTATTTTAGAGAAAGAAAAAGAAACATGGATGGAAAAAAGTGAATGAGTGAGTAATAATAATAACAAAGGCAGCTTAAGTAGTCAGGATAATCCCACAACAACAGCAAAAAACTTCCAGCGTGAGGAGAATAGCACTGAAAGGGTAGAACAGTAGGTGGCTGGCTTTTTACAGACTTGTGGTAACTGGGTTTTCTGGTCAGTAGTGGCTTAGTTATCTGCAAGGTACACACAGGGGATCAAGAGAAATAGGGAGGTCATAACAGAGGTCTGTAGTCCAGCAGGACTCACCCCATCTGCCTGAGCTCTAGGTTTTTGGGCTCCATGCAGTGGGAGTTAGGCGCAGCTGGAGCCTCAGCAGTGCGTGGTGGTGGGCGTGGCTGGGTCCTGGCCTTGTTCATCAGTTCATCAATCATCAAAAGGGAGACACTTGTACATGTGTTTATTACATCAACACTAGACTATTGTAGCCCTAGCAAGATGAACAACACCATTAGTGTTTGTGTGTGGTTATAAAGTAGGGCTAGCTCGTTTAGGTTTAGCAGTAAACAGGATGGTGTCTCGGTCAGGACACAGGAATGAAGATGAAGATAGTAATTCCTTTTTTAACTGTATTGTGTTCCAGCAGTATTTATCATACAGCTTGATATTCAGTATTGCCATCAGCCTGAAATAACAGAATAAATCAGCAAACATAAATCAAGCATAAATGTATCATTAAACATTATAATGCCCATTTTAGCAGAAACAGTAACCTATAATTACATGCAAACGAGAATATTACTCTCCAGAACTGAACTCACACGTCATTGACCAGGTTACGTTAAGAACAATGGCAACACTTGGGTACTGCATAATAGCGTTTACATATAGTGGCAATTTTCCACACACAGCCGCTGCTAACTCTTCACTACAGTACAACGGTCTCACATTAACTGAGATATACGAAGGACCACAGCCTTCCTAATAACTAGCTTAACACATCCTGCAGTCAATTATTCCATGAACATCATGACAACATTGGCAATGTCTCCTCTCACACTGAACACGTACGGGTGCGGGGTTGAACTCACGACACAACAGCAGCGGTCACTTGCTTTCTGTCATTGACTCAGTACTCAGAATATCACAAGCTAGATCACACAGTATTACACTAACTATTCTGTGTATATACAGAACAATTTATTCACTAAATATATGGAACATTCTGTAATTTTACAGTTTTTCTGTAAAAAATCATATGTTTCCTTGAATTTAAAAAAAGAAACTTTTTTTTATATCCCTCCACTAGAACCCAATCAATATATCGGTTGGCTAGTATCAGCCATTACTACCAATCTACAGATTTAGCGATATCAACAAAGATATTGTTGTTAATATGCCAATAAGAAATTACTTTTTTGGACTTCGACATCAGCAGAATCCAAACGTGATATCCTGACAACAGAGAAAAGCCTCAGTTAGCAACTTCTGAAGTCATGACCTGTTTATTTTTATGACAGCAGGACAAGCTGTGCTAGTAAACTTGAACATAGAACACCATCTAGCCAGCCGATCATAACAGACCTTGTAAGTTGTAAGCCAATCATATCAGACCTGCAAAGTAAAGTGACAGCTGAAATTGTGAAAAGATTTTAGCTGAAAGCACACTGATTTAAAAATTAGGCTTTATTCAAAATAAATAGCATACATCAGTAAGTAGGTACAGAGTGAAGATAACTACCCACAATGTGCAAACTGTAGTCAATATAGCTGGCTATAGACAGTTTTTAGTCAGTTGTTTGTTATCCAACTAACTTAAGTTCATGTGAAGTAAAGCAAAGGGGATAGGTCATAAAGCACAAACGTTAGCTATCTGAAGAACCAACAATTTAAAGAATTTTACAGTTAAAAGTGTGCTAAAATAGAGAGTAGACTTTATTTTAAATATATTATATACAGTCTAAAACAGTGCCCTGATGCACAATACCTACCTACAATATGGATTTGTGCAAATTGTGGACAATATATTCAAGTAAATCTGAGTTGAATAAAAATATGTTATTAAACACAGGCAAGGAGAGAGAGAGTAAGAAGCTGAAGGAGGCTGACAGAGCTGAAGAAGCAGGTCTGATAAAAGTTAGTGTACAAGAAGAAAGCGAATGAGTGTTTCATTTAAGTTTTCATTTAAAATTGATACTGACCATTGGGGTGACCAGGGTCCTTTCTGTGTGAAGTTTGCATGTTCTCCCCGTGTCTGTGTGGGTTTCGTCCAGTTGCTTCAGTTTCCTCCCACAGTCCAAACACTCGCAGTCAGGCCAATTGGTAATACTAAATTGCCCCTAGGTGTGAGTGTGTGTTAATGTGTATGTCTGTGTGTCTGCCCAGGATATCACCTGCTTTTTGCCCAGTTAGTGCTGGGATAGGCTCCAGCAGCCCCCCAGCAGGATAAGCAGCTTAGATGGTGAATGAATGAATGTTTAGAAATGTTATTTGTGAAATCAAATGAAAATAACTGATAAATAATTACCCATTAGCAATTATGAGAATAACCGAAACAATAAGCAACTTGAGGCTGTGAGTTACAGTGATTTTATCACAAGTGAAGGGCTTTTACTCTACTTCGTGTCGTGCCTTGTGGCACGCTCACTTGTGTAAAAGTCCACTCAGTACATTTAGTTAAATGAGTGGTTGTCAGACTCTTTGAGTAATGACTCTGCTCTGTTGCCCCCCTTTTATAAAAGCAATAAGCTTGAGGCTGTGAGTAACAGTGATTTTATCACAGGTAAAGGGCTTTTACTCCACTTTGTGCCTTGAAAACGTCTTACCCACGAAAAGGGCCACACACTTCATTCAGTACTTCATTTAGTTAAATAAGTGGTTGTCAGTCTTTTTCAGTAACAGCTCCACCCCAAGACCCCCAAAAATGTACTACGCAGCAACTTTCTCCACCTGTTCTGCATTCTTGCAATGTTATCTCTGTTTAAATCAGAAGCAACCAAATGAGCAGCTTATAAAACATGCAATCTCACAAAGAATCGGAAAGAAGAATGACAGAAGAGGGTGAGGCAGTAATGCTACGGTCACTTATTCTGCCTCAGGCAGGTCTAAACCCTTTTAAATCATACATTATTTATATATCCAGATTAATTTTTTTTCATTTATTTCTTTGTTTTTTGAAACCGTATAATGTTCTTGCAACAAGAATACTTTGGAAATCACAGCACAATCACCTCAGAAACACTAACTGTGAGCATTAAGTCTGATTAATCTGCTATTTCTTGTAAACCTATGACATTTTGAAGAAATATTTGCTCTGTAAATTGTCCTTTGGTTGATCCTATACACAGAATTCTTTTAACACATTACAACTATGAAAGATTACAAAACAATAACAAATTTTTACTTTATAAGAACAAATAAAATGATAGCAACAGCAAGAAAAAAATATGCTCAATAAAAAAAATCTATGCTAGGTTTAATTGATCTGCATCATTTGTCCACATGTTCTTGTCCACGTTACACCCGATGTCCTTACATGCATATAATACACAGTCCCGGGTCCATTACGCACAACATAACTTCAAAAGTGCCCCCCTTTGTACATGGTGGATACTTGGGTAAGACATCAGCTGAGGTGGTAATCAGCTGTGATTGATTTATCACATATAGTATTAATTTAGCAGATTAATATGCATAATTTGCAATCTGAGCTGTGGAAATACAGTTTTGCTAAAAGCTGAGATTGAGAGAGAAGTGAATGTAAGATTTTTGGAACCTAACATTCACCTAAGAGCCAGATCAATAAAAACTGCAGAATGAATTACATTTTGTAGACGTCAAAAAGACGTGAGCTTCAAACAAACCAGTGGCTGTCATACTGTGTCTTCAGAGCTGGATTGTACAGCTCTGGATGTGAGTGGACAACAGCCACCAGTTTCTCCTTCATTTAGTTCAAAATATATATCATTTCTGTTGGCTGCATAATATTCATGCACTGTCATGTGCCACTGTCTGCTGTCTGTAACACATTGTCTTAATTAAAATCAAAGGTAAGATTGATTTTGATGTATACTTGAGTGTCCACATGAACGCAGTAGAATGCTTTTCAACTAATTAGACTGCACCATCAAATGTAACTATTGTAAATCCTGTAATTTTATGTTTGCATCGACATTTCAGGACAACTGCCTAAAAAAACTAAAGCATGACCAGTATCTTTCTTTTTAAGTCAGTGGACAGTTCCTTCAATGACAACTTGGTGTTCAGTCTTTTTGATTAGTGGCCGACTTACAAACAATCTAATGAAGAATCTGAGGGAATCAAGAGAAGTGATACGGGGTCTTTACGGTGATTTCGTAAGACAGATGTTCTAAAAAAACGCTAAAACTACTCATTCTGGCTGACCAGCTGTGTGTCAGATATTTCTCAGTGGATGTCACAGAATTTCCAACAACTAAATTACGAAAAAACTCAAATACTGATCCATGATACTGAAACTCACAGAAAGCTGCCTTATGAGAAGCTCAGTTCTTTTGCTATGTATATCAAACGTGACGTACGAACCTGGGTGTAGTTTTAGACTCTGAGCTCTGTTTTAACCCGCATGTTTTTACCATTTGAGAAATGTTGCTTAACCTTTTCTATCTCAGAGTGACGCAGACAAACTTGTTAATGCATTTGAGACAAGCAGTCGATTACTGTAATGGTCTTCTTACTGGACTCACTAAGAAAATAATACATCCTTTACAAGTCATACAAAATGTGCCAACACAGATCTTAATAGAAACAAAGGGTCTCATTCTCCAACATGTTCCTAAGTTTGTTCATAAATTTGTTCTTGAGAAAGGTCCTAAGAAAAAGTCTACGTCAGATTCATGACGTGTTCTTAATGTGCAGAACTGTTCTCACCTTTGTGCTCCTGAGTGTGTGTAGATTCTGATCTTACCTAAGAACAAATCCCACATAAGACACATTTGTAAATGTCCTAAATTACCTTAAAACATCCACATACATCACAAAATGTCTGTCAGTTTGTTCCAGCTTGTGACCGTATATCTGCAGATACTGGCCTTCTGCAAACACCTTCCGTAAAAATACAGAACAAGTGGACTCATTCAGTTATTCTGCTTCTAAACTTTGGAACCCACCTTTTATTAGACAGTCGAGCTCAGTGCACACTTTTAAGAAACATTTGAAAATGTATCACTTAAACTTAGCATTTAATTAAAATTCCATGTCTATTTGGGTTTTTATTTTATTTGATCTACGTCGTTGCCTTATATGCTTTTATATTAATACTCATAGTTTCTTCTATTACTGTCAAGCTTTATAACTTGTCTGTAAAGCACTTTGAGCTTTAACTGGAATGAAAAGTGCTCTAGAAATAATAATTATTCCCTTATTATATATTCCTTTATAAAACAATTAAGTTTAATTTTTGTGCTGTTAAATGTCTCTATGACCATCATCTAGACTAATAAACAAGTAAGCGCAACCACAAAATCTACCTGACTGCACAAACTGGGAGTGCACCAATCTATAATCTGTATATTTAAATGACATATGATAAGTAGGAGCTGCAGCTGATCTAAGAGAAAGGAGATAGCATTGCTTAACTTTAAATCCTTTGTATTGACCAGTAAACTGTGTAGGTGGACAGATTTAAGTGGTAAAAGATCTGTGCTTAATATACTATGAAGGAACAGATCTTCTGTATGTCAGCTTGACCAAATAACCATTTTTGATATGGTTTTCACCTCAATGTGCTCTAAAAATTGATGATAAACAGACATTTCGGAATCATTAAACAACATCCTCCTGGGGGAGCATGCCCCCAGACCCCATTATCAAAAGTTTAGCTCCCTATCCATAAATCTCATGTGACACCTCTGTTCATAACTTTAATTACTTTTTTAAAACTTGTGTATTTGGTCATATGTTCCCCTTTTATAAAAGCAATAAGCCACTTGAGGCTGAGTTGCAGTGATTTTATCACAGGTAAAGGGCTTTTACTCCACTTTGTACCTTAAAAATGTCTTACCCATGAAAAAGTGCCCTCACTTCATTCAGTACTTCATTTAGTTAAATAAGTGGTTGTCAGTCTTTTTCAGTAACAGCTCCGCCCTGAGACCCCCAAAAATGTACTGCACGGCAACTGTCTTCACACGTTCTGCATTCTTGCAAAGTTATCTCTGTTTAAATCGGAAGCCAGCAAAAAAAACAAAAAAAAAAGCAGCTTACAGAACATGCAATCTCACAAAGAATCGAAGGGATAATGACAGACGAGACTGAGGCAGTAGTGAATGCTATAATCACTAATTCTGCCTCAGGCAGGTCTAAACACTTTTAAGCATACATTATTTACATGACAGATTTTATTTTGTTTCTTTTATTATCTTGTATCTGTGTAGTGTTTAGAGTATAGTGTTCCTGCAACAAGGTTACTTCAGAATACCTCTTAAACACCAACAGTGGGCATTAAGGTAACCTGCTCTCTATGACACTTTAAAGGATTATTTGCTCTGTAGATTGTCCTTTGGTTGGTCGTCTGTAAAGAAATTTTTAAGCACATTACATCTTTTAAATATTACACAACAGAATTGTACATTTCTACATAAGAACAAATACAATGATAGAAACGAGGACGAAGAAAAGAAATCTAGGAAATGCGAAAAAATCTACACTTAGTCTACTTGATCTGCATCACAGTTAATGTCTGTTTATATGCATATAAGCAGTCATGGCTCCATTATAAACAAAGTAACTCAAAGTGACCTCACTCTGTAAATGGTGAACACCTGGGTAAGACATCAGCTGAAATATGGGAATCAGCTGCGATCAATTCTTCACATTCAGTCATTGGTTTATTTCTACAGCTCTCAAAACTGGCATTGTTGTCTAATACAGTATTCGCAGCTTAGCAGATTGTCTTCAACACATTGTTTTAATCAAAATCAAAGGTAATATCTGTGTTTTTGGTGGGTATCTGAGTCAGGGCTCCAGACAAAACATTGGCTTAAGGAGCCGCTGGCTTCTAGAAGAAAAAAATCAGGCGCCAATAGCTTTTAGTTAAGTTTTTTTTTGTTTTAGCTTTTTTACTAAGTACCAAATAATAATAGGCATAAAATAAATAAATAAAAAATAAATAAATAAAACTTTTCAACACACCTCAGATCAGTTCTTTGATTTAGGTATCTCTGCCTTCCACCGTGCCTGATTCTTGTCATACATACATACATGTCAGACATCTTCGACACATTCAGTCTGCTTTTTTTATTAACAAGATTTGGGAGGAGAATGCTGGTTCCTCACCGGCTGTCATGTAGGCTGTGTTGAATTTAATTTAAGCTCATTAAATTCTTTCTCTGCTGTTTTTTTTGCATGCATGAGACACTTCGCTGGGCCTCAGCATACTTCTTGAGAAACAAAGTTCTCAAGGGTTGCTTACAAGCTTGCACACTTTCTGCGGTTTCATGTTGCCTTTTGCGGATGCTCTACTAATGCAGGCGATGCTATGACATTTTATGATAAGTTCCATGACTAGTGGAAAACGATTCTATCACAGTTCTAACTATGAATACTGCGACCATATAAGGTTGAATGGGAAAATTTGAACAAGAAGCTGGCGAATACCAACGCAACTTCAGGCTCGTCCTCTTGTGAACCTAAAATTAAGATAACCTATATGTTTTGGTGCCTACTACTGGTTAGTACTACTGAATAATAGATGTAACATCTTACATTTAGGAGGTATTTATTGTTTATTTAACAAATTCCCGTTTCACAGTGAAACATTGGTGTGTCTGCCAAAGCACTAAGCATACTTCTTGCGAAACGAAGCTCCTCGAAGTCGCCCAACATCACAAGTAAAATGCAACTAATCAGACTTTAAGAGATCTGTGAAGAAACTGTTTGAAGAAGTTACACCTGGAATTTTATATCTACATCTACATTTCTGGGCAACGGCCTAAACTAAAAGTGTGATATGTACATGGCACCGTACTTAGACTTGACAAAGAAAACCATAAAAAATTCATACACAATTTGACAATTGCAGCAAAAATCTAAGAAAATCACCAGTATACTTTCTTTCCTTTTGAGTCAATGGACAGTTCCTTTAATGCCAACTTGATTTGCAGTCTTTTGATTTGTGGCCTACTTACAAAGAATGCAATCTAAGAATAACTTGAGGGAATCAAGTCAAGTGACATTGGGTCTTAAAAAACAGATGCCCAAAAAATGCTAAAACTCCTAATTCTGCCCCAGGCAGCCCTAAAGCTCAACCAGGAATTTTCCACAAGAATGAACCTGTTCACATTCCTCAGTTTCACCGAAGTGTTCGTATTTTGCAACCGGACCACCCTCTGCAACTGAGCTCTATTTAAGGGACCTTGTAGATTCTGTCATTGTAACTTACAGCCAAAAAGAAGCTCTTTACCTGGGCAGCTTTCTCTGTTCTCAGCGTTGTTGTAAGTATGATCATTGTCGCTCGCTCGCTTAGGTGACCTGTCTGACTAATTTGGAAGAAATTAGGAGAAAAACAATATGACTGAAGTGGACTTGAACCAGGAAGAAAGTTTTATATCAGAAAAAAGAAGAAAGTCAGACCAAAAAAACCTTCTGTTTGGGTGCCACAGCAGTTTTTAGCCAAATTTATTCTTTAAACATATTTGTGCATTATAAAAAAACAGAATGATAGTATTTTTTGTTTTGATGTTCATTAAGACACATTCTATTTATTTTAATGCTTTGACTTGATATACAATTTTATTTCCTTTTAAAGGTCCACATTAACTGCAAGATCATGTCCAACCTCGCACCACTTCTTCTCATTGGTGGCCATGGAGGAAATGCTTTCGACTTCAATGGTCTGAATAACGGAGCAACACTGCAAAAGATATGGGTGTGGGTCGGTGGCTGGCAGATAAAAGCCATCAAGGTCTGGCTTACGGATGGCCGATCCATGCAGGTTGGAGAACCCAGTGGGAACCATTCTGAATTTATATTTCAAAATGGTGAACACATGACCTCTCTCTCACTGTGGGGAAATGGAGCTGGAACTCGTGTGGGTGCCATCAAATTCAAGACGAATAAATCCCGAGAGTTCTTCGCACACATGACAGACTGGGGACTGAAGACAGAATACCCAGCTGATGTGGGTTCTGGGATCTGCGTGGGAATCACTGGAGGTGCAGGTGCAGATATTGATTGCTTAGGCTTCAAGTTCATCAACAGCATCAGGTCTACTGTGTTGAAGAACGTGCACTATCCCACTCTTCATCACATGATTCCCAGTGTGTCTGTTGAAGAACTCAAATCCATGACGTATGAAAACAGCTCTACTGTCATGCAAGAATACAAAATTGAAACTTCAAAAACTCTCAGTAAAAAGTCCTCCTGGTCGGTGACCAACAAGTTGGAATTCACCTTAAGCATGGAAGTGAAGGCAGGAATTCCAGAGGTTGCAGAGGTATCGACTGGATTCAGTTTCACAATGGGAACTGAAAGCACATACGGTCTGGAGAACTCTGAGGAGAAAACCGAGCTGCTGTCATTCCCTGTCCAAGTTCCTCCAGGAAAAAAAATGAAAGTTGACATCACAATTGGTCGAGCCACAATTGATCTCCCCTACACTGGCACAGTCCAAATTACCTGCCTCGATGGCAGCGTTCTGGAGTTTCAAACCAGTGGAGTCTACAAGGGCCTCACCTACACCGACGCTAAAACAGTTGTGAAAGAAATATAAGTCAGTTTCTGTCTGTTGTTCCTGAAAAGTGAGCTTAGTCCAGCATCAGGTTCTTTGAATGTTCTTAAAATGTACTTTGAACGTTCTTAGAATGTTCCAGTGATTGAATAATTTTAGTGTTATGGATGGTGGATGGGTACCTTATCTGAATTAGAGTCTTTTTGACTCACTGCTTTGAAATCTGAACTCTTTTTCAGCATTATACTCCTAATTAATCTGTGTAGATGTCTTTGTATGGGAAATGGAAACTGAAGTCATTGAAAGTGTGAATTCTAGATGACATTAGAGGTTCAAGAACCATGTAACCCTGGCTATGGTGTTATGTGTGGCTTTAAATAAAGATTGTGGCTACATATTTCACATTTTGCTCTCCATGTTTCATTCAGAAAGTGAATTCAATAGAATGTCTTTTTTTTTGAGTAGATATTATGGCATCTGATAGTGTGTGAATATTAATAAAGTTAAGTGATATAACTTGTTCAAAAGACACATTTCTATGAAATCATGAATATTTGTATAAATATTATGAGAACCCAGTCCATTAATGAAGTACAGATACGATGCTCAGTTCATTAATATGTAGTTGAATTAAAACAGATTTTTCAAATTTCAGATTTTTTTGTACTGCTAATGACTGTTTAAATACAAATTTACCTCATATACACTGATGCAAAATTATTTTTGAATATTCACAATATTTTAATGTTTTTAATGATGTCCACACAATTAAAGGGCTTTCTTTCAAAATAAGGCAATTTTGTTGATAATTTACTAAACTTGGCTGAAACTCAAACGGCTATCAATTTTAGCAGTGGGGAGCGCTGTCACCTCAGTGTAAGAAGGGCCTGGGTTCGATTCCAGGGTGTTTACTGCTTTCCGGGGGTGCTCGATAGGCTCCAGCACCCCCACTGTGACCCTGAAGGATAAGAGGCTTAGATAATGTGTGTGGTCCAACTATGGTTTAAAAGTGCTCACTGTACTGCAGAGTCAGTGTAGAACCAACTCAGCAATAAAATATGAGGTAACGGCAACAATATATAACATATATACAATGTAAGCATACTTTTGAGGGAAGAAAGGAAAGACAACACAGAGATGGTCAGTAAAACAGGGGGAAAGTCATGCCCAATAGGCAAATAGAATGAGCCAGAAGTCAATAATAACTTTAAATACAAGACATCCTCGCAAAAGTTAACTCAAAATAGTAGCAAAGTGAGATGTGGTCTACTTTAAGTCCAACCTACTTAATTTATTTGGATATGCATTTTGAGGTACCTGGTTAAAATTCTAAAGGGAGAAACATTATTTATTATTGTGTATTGTTAGACATGACTGACTCTGACTGATTTAACGTTTACGAGAGTTACATTCTTTCTCTGGTAATATATTGAATATATATTAAAAATTGGTCAATTTGATTACAATACTGTGCAGAAATTTTAGACACCTGAGGAAACTGTATTTAAAAAGCAATCTTAGGGCAGCAAGCATGTATTTGCTCATTGAAATACTTATACTTGGATAAATACAAATAACATTAATATAATAAGTGGTGATATGTATGTCAGTGTGTTCTTTTAACCATTTCCAAACCTCTCCTTGAGCCGAGTATTATTTGTAGTTATTATCCAATACCTGCCTTATCCACTCAATACTTTGAAGACAATGCATTGAATTAATACAGGTGTGCTGGTGATGGAATTTAATAAATCCATGTGAAGACTGTTCTTCTAATTAGCACACAAGTTATTAACTACGTTTTTCAAAATATAAAATGTGCTATTTTTACTGGATGTGTGTTGATTTCAGCTGATTTGGGTGTCCAATCTTATCAGCAAATGGCCCTGTCAGGCTTTAAACAGCCGATCAGGTGAGCACTCCTGCTTTCTTGGAATGAAAACATGCAACCACACCTTCCCTTTGGAGAAAAGATTGGACACCCCTGGCTTATTTGTGTTGATTATAATGATGCTCTTTTCAAATTCAAATGAGTCAAATGAGTCAAATTGGGCTCCACTTTATCTTGTCCCGGTTGATCAAGCACATTTTGTGTTGTTCCTGGACTGAAAGGTTTGAAGAAAAAGAAAAACATTGAAGCAGGAGGAATGGAGAAGCAGTCAGCAGAGAGCTCTGATATTTCCACCTGATATTCATTTTAGGATGGCAAGGAATGTTTTGTGACTCAGTTCCATGCTTGCTTTAACAATGAAGGACTTACAAACATGTGGTTACAATCAAGTGTGATTTTAACTAATAAATAAGTCATTTTAACCTGGTTAGCTTATTAAATCTGTTTTGGCCATACCTAAGAACGTGGTACGTGGTGGGGAGCTAGTGGGGGCGAGGGGAAAGCTATTGGAATCAGATTTATTGGCCGAGTATGCTGACACAGATAAAGAATAAAGTTCCAGCCATTGTTGTCTCTCCACTTTTAAATGCAATCTGCAAGAATGTACAAATTATTTACAGACAATACACAATATAATATACACAGTATATAAGCAGTATGCAGACGATATATGAGCAATTAATATACACAATGTACATTTTATTTACAGACAATACACAATATACAACCCCATTTCCAAAAAGCGTTGTGACGCTGTGCAAAATGCAAATGAAAACAAAATGCAATGATGTGCAAATCATTTAAACCCTATATTTATTTGAAAATAGTACAAAGACAACATATCAAATGTTGAAACTGAGATTTTTTTTGTTTTTTTGAAAAATATCTGCCCATTTTGAATTTGATGCTAGCAACATGTCCCAAAAAGGATGGGTCGGGGCAACAAAAGACTGGTAAAGTTGTGTAATGCTAAAAAATTAGCAACAGGTCAGTAACATGACTGGGTATAAAAAGAGCACCCCAGAGAGTTAAGATGAGCAGGTGTTCACCACTCTGTGAAAGACTGTGCAGGCAAATAGTGCAACAATTCAAGAATAACGTTTCTAAATGTAAAATAGCAAAGAACTTGGGTATTTCATAATCTACGGTACATAATAACATTAAAAGATTCAGAGAATCTGGAGACATCTCTGTTTGCAAAGGACAAGACCAAAACCAGTATTGGCTAGCCAAGATCTTTGGGCCGTCAGGTGGCACTACATTAAAAACAGACATGATTCTGTAGTAGAAATCACTGCATGGGCTCAGAAACACTTCTGAAAACCACTGTATGTGTACACAGTTCATCACTGCATCCACAAATGCATGTTAAAACTCTAAAATGCAAAGAAGAAACCATATATAAACAGGATGCAGAAATGCCGTCACCTTCTCTGGGCCCGAGCTCATTTAAAATGAACTGAGGTGAAGTGGAAAAGTGTCCTGTGGTCCGACGAATCAACATTTGAAATTCTTTTTGGAAATCATGGACACCGTGTCCTCCAGGCTAAAGACCATCAGGCTTGTTATCAGCGCACAGTTCAAAAGCCAGCATCCGTGATGGTATAGGGGTGCATTAGTGCACATGGCATTGGTGACCTGCACATCTGTAAAGGCACCATTAATACTGAATAATACATACAGGTTTTGGTAACATATGCTGCCATCCAGCTGACGTCTTTTTCATGGAAGGCCTTGATTATTTCAGCAAGACAATGTAAAACCGCATTCTGCATGTTACAACAGCATTGCACTGTAGTAAAAAAGTAAGGGTACTAAAATGACCTTCCTGCAGTCCAGAACTGTCACCCTCTGAAAACGTATGGCACTTTATGAAACAAGAAATATGACAAAAGAGACCCTGAACTGTTGAGCAGCTGAAATCCTGTATCAAGTAAGAACAGGAAAACATTTCACTTTCAAACCTACAGCAGTGTCTCCTCAGTTCTAAATGCTTACAGAGTGTTGTTAAAAGAAGAGGTGATGAAACACAGTGGTAAACAGGCCCCCGTCCCAACTTTTTTGGAACGTGTGGCTGCCATCAAATTCTAAATGGGCAAATATTTTTCAAACAGCAATAAAATTTCTCAGTTTTAGCATCTGATTTGTTGTCTTTGTACTATTTTCAAATAAATATAGGGTTTAAATGATTTGCACATCATTGTATTTTGTTTTCATTTACATTTTGCACAGCGCCCTAACTTTTTTGAAAATGGGGTTGAACAAAGAAGCAACATACAGATTATGTAGGGGCAAGCAACATACATAAGTATGTGTGATAGTGCAAACAGTTTTTTCATCATGTATGGGAATGACATTGTAGTCTGAAGCAGGGTGTATTAACTATCTGGAGAAGAAACAGGAGTAGCTACGGTCCAGAAGAAGATATTGCTGGTCAGCTATTTATGAAGGTGATGGCATGAGGAAAATGGCTGCTCCTGTGTCTTAGAATGCAGAATTCTGTAGAGCTTTCTGGAGGAGAAGGAGTTGAAAAAGGTTGTGTCCATGGTGTGAGGAGTCTGTAATGATTTTCCCTGACCGTTTCCTGGTTCTTGAAGTGTACAGGTCCTGGCGGGTGGGCAGGGGAGCACCAATGATTTTTTCAGCTGACTTTACTGTTTGTTATAGTCTGTTCCTGTCCTGTTTTGTGGGGCTCCGAACCAGACCGTGATGGATGTGACAGATTTGCTGACTGCGGTGTAGAACTGGTGCAACAGCTCCTGTGGCAGACCCAGCGTCCTCATCTGCCGCAGAAAGTACATCCTCTGTTGGGCCTTATCGAGGATGGAGTTGATGCTGGATGGACATGATGGGATGAGGGATCCTCTGATGTTAAACGTACTCTGGAATCTTCAGAAGCTGCTGAAAGCGAAACTGCAGAGTCTCCCATACAGATGTAGCCAGGTACTTGGGATCTGCATATGCGCTCTCTTCCAAGCAGAAGATCTCATCCAGAAAGAAGAACATCTCCTTCTGACAGAGACAGAAAGAAAAACGGTCATCACATGTGACCAACGATTCTGAGTTTTTAGAAGAGAGCTCTGACAAAGATCACTTAGTGTGAAGGATACTGATTGTTACCTGGGCGAGGAGCAGGTACTCTTCTGCTCTGGGTCTTCTCTGCATGGTGGTGGAGGTGAAGGAGTTCAGCATGAACATTAAATAGTGAAGAAATCC